TGGATTTTTGACTTTGGCTAAAGGGATGATAATAGCTTCCTTCGAAGCCTCAGGAAAAGTCCCGGTCTCAAGGCATATATTAACAATATGTGTTAAATACAATAAAATTTCTGGTAAGCAGTATCCTAGCATGTTCAAATTAATTTCATCACTCCCTGTAGCAGGTGACTTGATAGAAGTAACTATGTCCAAAATTTCTTCAGCGGTCATCATTCTAAATGTAAATGGAGTTACATCTTGGCTGTTAAAGCTGTTCTCATAAAACTCTACTGTACTGTCAATCAAACGGGAATTGATATTAAGATTTTGGTAATTTAACATGAAGTGGTTATTGACTTCATTAGGATCTAACAGGTCATAGGGTATTTCAATGTGTTTCTGGGGACAAATATTCATTGCTCTCAGCTGATCCCAAGCTTTTCTAGAATTGAGATTATCAAAGCGAGATAAATATGCCTTTTTCTCACGCCGGATTGAAGCAAGTGAATAATTTCTTAACTGTTTATACGCTGTCCAATTTTCATCTGATGGATTGTGACGAAATTTAATTAAAGCCTCATCTCTCACCTTAAGAATGACCTTAAGTGCGAAAGTTAACCATGGAGCAGCTTTTTTGGTGACACGAGCCGTCCGAATAGGAGTATGAAAGTTAAAAAGCTCAATAAGCACCCCATAAAGGATTAGAATTTTGGAGTTAATATCGGTGATATACAGCATTTCTTCTAAGCCAGCTGCAGCCAAATCCTGCTTGAATTTGACTACATCAATGTTCTTAAAATCTCTATAGGTTATGAATTTTTCCTCCGATGAAACGGTTTTAATATTTAATTCACAGAATACTAGTTTGTGATCAGATATCAGATCTGCATTTAAGGTACCAGAGTTGAGAACACTTTCAATATTATTTAAAAATATGACATCAATTAAAGTAGAACTAAAACGAGAAATACGAGTAGGCTCATCGATGACCTGCCTGAAACCATAAAAATCAAGACATCTGCTGAGTACATTAGTGGTATCGAACATATCAATATTCATGTCTCCAAGAAGAATAATGTCATCATATTGAGGCATAAAGAAAGAAACAAGATTGTCTATGTGGTTTATACAATCATTGATAGAACAGTGAGGAGGTCTTACTGCATGAGCTTATAGTACTGTCTACTCTGCTCATCTCAATTATCATAATAATAATAATAATAATAATAATAATAATAATTAATGGATTTAGCCGATTTTTGGGATTGCTTGTGTCGCACGAAGAAATCAATGTTGTAAGTTTTTTTTTTCACTTATCTTGTATTTGATCGAAATTGTCATACAATCATCCATAGCTCGAAATAAACAAAGAACAAACGTTCTTTCTGGCTTAATTTGCTTGCGTTGTGTACGATCACAAGATCTTTGTACTTTTATCTAAACTAATCGGCTGAGACTACCGTCCTCCTTTCCTCCTCATCTCTAAAAATTGTCATGTATGTGTACTTTTCAGTACACGTTCTGCACTGCAAGATTTCCATTATCTTGAGGATATAGCATCTCTGAATCGAGGAATGAACAAAATTGATATCACACCACCGTTCTACTTCTAAACACCACACTTGTCATCCACTGAAACTCATTTTCTAAGCAAAGCAACACCTCCCTCTTGAACGTACAGCCCTCAGCTTCCGTCAACATTCTCGTTAGGAATTTAATATAAACATCTGTCGGTAATTATTCGTCCATTAGGAAAGGGAGTGGGATTTTATTACACCAAAGCGCCCCCCTAACAAGCAATAAACGGGAGCGTTTTCATAAAATGATCCTTCCGTCGAGAGCCCGGAATTAGCTTAGCATGAATACCCTCCTCCACACTGACGCGGTGCGGTGGCGGTTTAACATACTGCTATAGTTTGGGGAGGATTTGTGGCAACGAGACATTACACAGGCAGGTGTGATTTATATGTGATGGATCTTTTGTATATGGACAGAGTTTTAGCACTCGCCAAACAGATTTTTACTTCCCACGCCTACTGGCGAGGAAGTATCTTACGTCATGAAAAATCATAATAATAATAATAATAAATTTATTTTCCATCAGACATGCATGAACATGTATAGGTTTCGTCAAAAAGATACAATAAGTAAATATGTACAAAGTAAATAAATAAAAAAACAAACAAATAACATCCAGCAACAAACAAGTTAAAATTAGTGATAAAAAACGATAGGTATTTAGAAACTGACAAAGTCGCTAATTGCATAAAAACAGTTACTTATAAAGTAGCTTTTCATCTCAGATTTGAATTGGCCTATTGAGGTGATCCTTTTTATGGAGTCAGGCAGGTTGTTAAAAATTTTAGGACCTAAAATACATGGTGATCTGCTGCCTAACTTATAACGCGCAAAAGGTATATGGATGTCGTTTTGTCTGCGAGTGCCCATTTGATGTATATGACTATTCAAGGTGAAATCATCTTTGTTTAAAAAAGTATAGATAGCCATATTGTAGAGAAAAAGCGAAGGCAGTGTCATTATTTTTAATCTCTTGAATAATTCTCTGCAACTATAAGTACTGCTTACTCCCACCATACACCTCACCAGCCGTTTTTGACTTAGGAACACCTTAGTAGCGTTCACCGATGAACCCCAGAAGCGCAAAGCATACAGCATGCGAGATTCAACCTGACCATGATACAACATAAATAGCTGATTTTCTGTGAAAACAGATCTCAGGTTCTTGAATAAATATGCTTGTGAATTTATTTTTGATGACAGATAATCGCAATGTCCTTTAAAGTTGAGACATTGGTCTAAGTGGAGCCCTAAAAACTTAGTGCTTTTATCACTCTGCAGTGCTGAACCGTTCAGAACAAGCTGAATCGCTGGTATCGACTTTTGAATGTTATGGAACCTTATAACTGTGGTCTTTTCGCTATTAAGAAGTAACTGATTTTCTTCAAACCGGCTATTGATGTTGTACACTAAGGTGTTACATTTATTTATTAAATCAGCGTCGTCTTTATTTGATATATTGATGGAGGCATCGTCTGCATACAACGTGAAATGTGCTTCAGGGAAACATTGCTCCAGGTTATTTATATAAAGGGAAAACAGCACTGGCCCCAATATAGATCCTTGTGGTACGCCTATATTTATGTTAACCATACCCGATTTGAATTGCTTCAGTTGACCAGCGTTGTTGTGTTATTGCCACGAATTGTGACCTATTCTGCAAGTACGATTTTATCCACAGGTAGGCTGAACCACCAATTCCATAGTCTGTTAGTTTGGCTAATAGTATGTCATGACTGACACAGTCGAGCGTCCTACTGAGGTCACAAAATATCCCAACCGGGCATTCTCCTGCCTCAATACAGTAGACTAACCTGTTGATAAATGAACGACATGCGGTCATGGTTGATTTTCCAATACGGAAACCATGTTGATTGGATGATAGAGTCTCATTGCTTTCCAAGAACAGCAGAAGTCGATCTAAAAAACAATACTCAAGAATCTTGGAAAAACAGCATGGAACAGTCACCGGTCTGTAATTGCTAACCAAAGAAGTATTTCCGTTCTTAAGAATTGGAGTTACTTTTCCTGTTTTCAGGTTGTTTGGAAATACACCAGTGCAGAATGATAAATTAACTAGAAAAACAAAAGGTTTGGTTATGTACAATAATATTTTCTTGACTAAGAAATTCGGAACTTCATCGGTGCCTGAAGAACGCTTGTTTTTTAACTTATCATTAATCAGTTTATAGAATTCTTCATCCAAGAACGGGCATAAAAACATAAAAGATTTTTGGTCGCAGGTATGATCACTTGGAACTGGATTTGTATCCTTAGATATTTTTTGAATAATATCCAAAGGAGCCTGTTTAAAATAGTAGTTAAAATAATTAGAAATTTCTTGGGGATTTCTAATGGTTAATCCATTATCAAGCAGTACAATGTTCTTTGATACTCTATTTCTTCCGTTTATGTCAGAAACCACATTCCAGGCAGCCTTCATCACGTTGTGCGAATTGGATATTTTTTGTTGATAATATGCCTTTTTTGTTTTTCTGACAAGCTTCTGATGTTGTTTTTTTGCATCTAGATAATGTTGTCTGTACTCAGGGATAATTGTTGACAACATATGCTGTTCACGCAAGCATGAACTCGACAACTTTACATTTTCATCGACCCATTTCTTGCTGTTGTTTTTAATCAGACATTTACGCAGTGGAAAATGTATTTGGAAGTGATAGTCAAACACTCGAAAGAAGTACTCAAATGCATTATTTATATCCCGGTAACTATACAGTGGTGACCAGTTTTCCTTACTTAAGTCTAAAACGAAGTTTTGAACAGACCAGGTATCAAAAACCCTTTTAACTGTTTCTTTTACCGCATCCTTAGCTTGAAGACATTCCATAATTTCTATAAGTACTGTTCTATGGTCAGATATTACATTATCAGCAACGCAATTCAAACATTTATCATTGAAGTTGGTGAAAACTTGTTCTATCGTTGTGATAGACGTGCGCCCAATCCTTGTTGGCCAACCTACCTGTGGATGCAAGCCAAACTCAGACAGTGTATTCACAAGTGCCTCATTATCGTCGTTATGATTATAAGAATCTACATTGAAGTCGCCACAAAGAATTATATTTATATTTCGCCTAAAAACAAAATTTTGAGCCCTATTTAGATTGTCATGGAATATTTTCATAACTCCCGAGGGAGATCTATAGCACAAAATGATGATGCTACGTATACCACCATTTGAGAATTGAATGGCACACAACTCAATATTCCTATCCAGTGAAAACTGAGATACGTCAATAGGTTTTGCAACAACATCATCTCTACAATAAATCGCTAGGCCACCGCCTTTGTACGACGATCTAAAATATGAGCTAACTAACTGAAAATTCTCAATAACAAAATTATTAAGTGATTCAGCTGTAGCCCAAGTTTCAGTTAGGCAGAAGAACTTCACTCTTGCATAGTCAGATACCATAACATGTAGCTGATTGACTTTGTCAATATTTAAGCATTGAACATTAAGCAGTATCTATTAGATTAGGCTGGAAGGCTATGTCGATGTCGGTAAAACTCTTCTTTTCTGTAAAAAACGATTTATACACGTATTTTTCGGCCATATTGATACGTTTAATGCAGTTTTAAAGTTACTTTCTGATATAGTTACTTTAAATGACGAATAAATATCCGCATATTTTGAAGTAATACATTCAACAATAGCCTCAGGGAAATTAGCCTTTACCATTGACTCCATCTCACATAATTTCGTTTTCGGATGAATTCGGCTCACATGCAACGCAACTTTTCTTTCAACGCCCTTAACCAGACAGCTGTCGGACCCATTCCCAATTATTAGATGGCATCTTCTGCGTTGTCGATCAACTAACTGCCACGTACTCTCGCTTATAACTCCATCACCGCCGTCGCCAGACTGCAGCACCATTTAATGACAGCGCCTGCTCGACTACAAGTGCCACTTGCTACCTCGTTACAGCGTTGCCAGTATTATTGGCTGCGTTCGATGTGACTGGCTTTTGAATTGATGAACTGGATGGTTTCTTTATAACATCACTGTACTTGTTGGTAGATGTCTTGTGTTTTCCGTATTGATAACATGACGATACAATTGGTTGCCTGTTAATATCGGCAACAGATGGCGATGTCTGTTCCAATATCTTTGATAAAGTTGATACTTGGTCAAGCAAACTTTTAATGGTTTGCTGTTGTGTTTTGATAATCAAATTCTTATGTCTGATTAGTTCCCTTAGTGATATATTGTCTTTCTCACTTATATCTACATCAATCATTTCTCTGACACTGCAAAATGAGATGTCGCTATCCTCGTCGATCTGTTCGTCCTACATTGTTTTGATTGATTCTTCTGAGGGGTCGTCAATAGAACAACAAATAACCGATTTATCATCAATCGTTTGCAGGTTTTTCATGTACTTGACGCAACCCGCATGTATGACAGTTTTACAATTAGCACATTGCGTACCACTTTTCGCGATAACACCACAACGCTTGCAACACTTTGTAACAGAACTATTAGCACGTCTTTCACTTGACGCCACGTACACACTCCCCAAGTACACAAGTACACATGTTACTCATTTTCGTCTGTCTGTCTGTCCGGTAATGCTTGGCACTTCTCTACGTTGGAAAACTGCTGCTGGGATATGGATGAAATTTTCACACAATGTTACTACTATCCTAGGGACGAAAAGGCCTTGAAAATTGGTCCAGTGGCGGCGAAGAAAAATGCTAAAAACGAAAAAAATTAAAAGCGCTCAAACTTCGTTTTTTGACGTTGCAGAAGATAATAATAACAAAAATAAATGAAGATTAAAAGTACAGTACTAGCTAGTAGTATTATATAAATATTACATAAATCCACCTATGATAACAAAATTTAGTTTTAAAAGGACCTTATAGTTCATGTTTATAATTTAGAGAAATGAAGTGTGATGTTTGTCATTAGATTTGTTGTTCAAATACGATTTTTGAAGTTCAGACGCTTCGTAGGCGTTGTATACTCGTAGTATAAGGACATTATAAGTAATGCACTTCTGGAAGAACGATGTCTTGTGAAGAGGCATGGTTAACGTATTCACAAAACGAATATTTCTTAAGAGAGTACACCCACGACATATTAGCTTGTCTTTTAAAAATGGGGGAAATGATGTGGTTAGAGCTTTGTGCATAAAACGTAATAAGTGAAACTTAAATAATTTTGTTACATTTAACAATTTCAATTTTTCAAAATACGAGCTAATGTGATCATATCTTCGTAGGTTAAAAATCAATCTATACTAAGTGACATATAAATCCGAACACCCAGTTTAAATGGTTTTATTTTAATAAAATTTTGTATAAGTACTTAATGAAGCATAATAAGTAAATGATAAAAATTCCAAAATGATTGCACTGCTTTAAAGCCCTTTGACCTTTAATAATGTGTGGATGCACCCTGATGTGCTACGCATTCTCCAACGCACCTAGGCATGCTTCTGATCACGTGGTCAATGTCCTCCTGTGGTATCTCATTCCAGGCAACCACCAACTCCTCTCGAAGTGCTTCTAGAGTCTGAGGAGGACGTTGCAAATTGAGCAATCTCCTACCCATCATATCCCACACGTGCTCAATTGGGGATAAGTCGGGAGATCTTGGTGGCCATGGTAACAATGTGACATCATTATGTTGAAAGAAGTCTATTGTGACTCTTGCAACATGTGGTCGGGCATTATCTTGTTGGAAAGTTGGATCTGCAAGGGTGTCAAGATAGGGTAAAAGATGGGGTTCTAGAACTTCGTGGATATAACGCTGCGCGTTCATGTTACCTCTGATGAAGATTAAAGGTGACCTGGAACCATAAGCTATAGCACCCCAAACCATAACTCCAACAGTGTGATGAACATGTCTTTCAACAAAACTGTGGATTCCTCCTTTCACCACGTCGCCTTCTAACCCTGGCACGACCATCGTGCATGCCTAAACAAAATCGAGACTCATCACTAAAGACAATACTGTTAAATTCCTGATCCCAGAGTGACCGTTGTCTGCACCACTCAAGGCGATTACGTCGGTGTTCTCGAGTTAAAGGGAGGACCCAGTGTGGCCGGTATGAAAACAAGCCAAAACTTCTCATTCGTCGGTAAACACTTCGCATGCCAATAGGTCTTCCGTGTTCTGCAAGCCATTCATTTGCAATGGACCTGGTAGTGGAGAAACTGTCCCTTAAGGCCAATAATCTTAGGCGGCGATCTTCACGGTCTGTTGTTCTACGGCGGCGTCCAGTGCCCCTTGCTCTTTGCGTACGGCCTTCTTGAAGCCATGCCTGACAACACCTAACCACAGTGTCTACACTTCTTTGCACTATAACTGCAATTGCCCAAAAAGAAAGTCCACCTTCCCGAAGTCCCACTATACGGCCCCTATCTAACTCACTAAGTTGACGAAATCGTACAGGTCTCCGTACTCTAGGCATCGTAACCGATCGTAAAGGATGTCAAGAACCAAAATCCGCCAACGTTGATTCTTTACTGCGGCTGAAATATTCATTTTTAGAGTGTTAGTGAATTAAAAAAAAGCAGTATAAAAACCGGAATGTCCAACTGATAAGGCTGAAAATTTTTTCACTTGTTATTTACAGTAAGATAAATACATTCACCAACTTTTATTAAAATAAAACCATTTAAACTGGGTGTTCGGATTTATATGTCACTTAGTATATTACATAAATCCACCTATGATATCAAAATTTAGTTTTAAAAGGACCTTATGGTTCATGTTTATAATTTAGAGAAATGAAGTGTGATGTTTCTCATTAGATTTATTGTTCAAATATGAATTTTGAAGTTGTTGAAGTTCAGACGCTTCGAAGGCATTGTATAGTATAAGGACATTATAAGTAAAGCACTTCTGGAAGAACGATGTCTTGTGAAGATGCATGGTTTAATATATTCACAAAAAGAACAATATTTTTTAAAAGAGTACACCCACGAAGTATTGGCGTGTCTTTTAAAAATAGGGGAAATGATGTGGTTAGAACTTTGTTCACAAAACATAATAAGTGAAACTTAAATAATGTTGTTCCATCTAACAGTTTCAAGTTTTTCAAAATACGAGCTAATGTGATCATATCTTCTTAGGTTAGGTTAGGTCAATCTGCCACATAAAACTTGAATTTTTCCCCAACGTTTCACGGCTACAAATTCTAAAGATGGATGATATACTATGTGGCAGTAAGTTATTTTTAACAGTATCATGGTTTCGTATAGATCTTATTTAGTACTAAAATCAAGTATTAGTCCTTTAGGAGAAAAAATTAATACTTCAGATCTAGATGGATTTAACTGAAGGTTATGTTCGGCAACATAAGTGTCGATAGATTTCACATCAAAAATCCTGATCGTCTTTAAAAAAAATATGGGGAAAAATTGGGGGCTGGGAATATTGTGATGTTATCGTATAATGGATACACTTCCAACTCCGATAATTCTACGCACCTAGTAGACAGTTTTCGTGACGTCTGCTGTTTGACGTCGTGCCGGTTTTCATAAGTGTCCTCGCATGACTGACGCTCTGCCGCATCTGACGCGTCGTGCATTCAGGTATTGGGGAGATGGTACTTCGGATGGAGCAGAGAAAGAATGCTATGGACTTATAGTATAGTCCTGTTTGACTGACTTGATCCGTTTAATTTCCCTGTCATACATTGCCGTAACTAACTATCGGCCAAAGACAGCTAACCATAAGTAGAATATATAATTGCTCTGATGATCGCGATTGCTGTCTGTGGATCTTTGTTGATCTATCCAAGGCCTTTGATACCGTGAATCATACTGTAATGTTGGAAACATTGGAAAACTTGGGCCTACACGTTTATGGAAAGTAACTTAACCGATAGAAAACAATGTGTGAAAAGTAAGCAAAGGTGTTATTAATTACTTACGAGCCAAAATAACGAGTTTCGCTAACACAGTAATTTATTTTACGGATTAACCATGGGTATCGGTTCGAAAAAGAGCAGAGTCGGACTTTGAAAATATAATCAGATTTTTTCGATTTAAAATTTTAATAATAAATTTCAGTAAAGCATATTTCTTACCTTTCTATAACAGCTCCAAATTTCTCATCATTAGATATAAAAAATAATACTGGTATAAAAATAAATCGAGCATCTAAAATGAATAAATAGAAATTTTTTTCGAAAGAACTAGATGCCCTTATGATATTACTTATGAATATATCTGCATGACAATGACAATGTTTCGTATGGGTAAATAAATACCACAGTCAGCTGCCTTCTGCGGGTACTCTATGTTTATTTGTTTTGTTCCAACCTATTTGTACTTTATAAATACACATTATTATCATTATTATAACAGCTATTTCCTGCTTTATTGGCATGGTGTAGGTTTGGGATGAAGCAGACGATCGAACACTCTCGCAGTGGTCGATTCGGGTAATAGATGGCGCTTTATGCTGTCTCATTTCGAAGGAGGAATATGTTTTTCATGTGTGGGTATGTTTGTACCCAAAAAATTATATTTCAGGAGATAGTGGCCAAGCGACTTCTTAGATTTTAACATATGAGGTACCGGCCTACATCAAGATGTTATAGAAACAAACTTCCGAATGTTAATAATAAATTGCAGTCTTAAAATTCCTATTTCATGGGCTACAGCGTCAACGGCTTGCTGGACTTTAACATAGGAAGTGACTCTAGCTTTTTAAAAACGTACTGGATTTGTTCGATCCTTAATTTACATCTAACTGTAAGATCCAACTTCTATAGAAAACATAACAAGCCAACAACTTTTCTCCATTGCGATTACCACTGGTCCGTCTTGAATATCAAAATGAACTTCCGCAAGAATAATATTCGGCTTTTCCGCACGCCGCTTGCAAATTCCCCGATTTTTTCCGCCTTCCGGCTT